TGCAGCCGCTCCCGAAGGTCTCGGTCAGCCACGGCATCTCTCATGGCCTCGCAGTACTCATCATCATCGCTGAGGATGTCCGTTTCCTTGATGTCCTCCTGCTCCTCATACTGAGCAAGGTCAAACTGTTCCTCTACCCAGCGGTCAGTGTCCCCACTGTGTGTGGGCTGCTGGGGCTCTTTTTCAGGGCTGCTCGTGTAGACGGCATCTGAGTCAATGGTAAACCTGTTTCGGGCCAGCCGCCGCCTCCTCCTCCCGAGAGACTTGCTTGGCGCTGACACTGCGCACACACAAAGATAAAACCCCACAGGCTTTTTACACACGGTACAACTCTCTTTAAAAAGTTAAGTCTTCCAGGGGCCCTTTATTTAACACCGCTAGGCACAAAGCAGGCAGACTCCCAGGAATGACCTAGTCATTCAGCATCCTCCCTGCGGGCAAGTCACACTTCACTCAGCTCCTCAGCACAGGTCTCTCTCCAGCTGAAAAAGGAGTTTCTGCTACTCAGATCCACAGTTGCGATAATGGCCCTCAATTACTGTTCCTCCTAAGCGGTAGGCAGCCAGCCAGCCAGCACAAAGTGCATCTGCTCAGCTCAGCTTCTCACACGCAGTGCCCTGCTGTCAGCACACCGCGAACACCAGCTAGCCTTACGCCTTGGTACAGGGAATTGCTTTGTCTCGGCTAAAAGCAACACTATAGGTTTCCAAGTAGCTACCTCGGTGCTGAAGATGCTGCGACTGTTGCGTTACTTAAGGGGAAGTAAGTTCCCCGTCCAGGCGCTGCTACTCCCTTCCCCGCTCCCTCCCTACTGGGGGAAAAAAAAAAAAAAAAACAAAAAACAAAGAAAACCCCAAAACCAGAAAAACTTTCAGAAGTTCCTTACTGAGCATCAGCTGGTCTACTAGCTTTTGCAACTGGCCCAATTAGCAAATTCACATCTTCTGTGTTGGAACATCTTCATAAGAGGCTTGTGAGGCAAAGCAGGGGACGAATCCTGCAGCTGAAGGCCCTGCAGGCATTCCAGCGCTTTACGTGCACACACACGTAGCTCCATGGCAAGCAGGTGAGCTCCGAGGTTACAGTTTGTCTCCCTCCACTAAAGAGGACCGTAGCACTTTCAGTTTGTATTTAGTAAACTCTAGCTTGGAGGCAGGGCTACACTTTAATATCCCTGAGCCTCAAAACATGCATGAAGTACCACAGCTCAGCAGTTGCGAATTTTAACTGGAGTGAGAGGTCTGGACTCTAAGAGGAGATTTTAATCTCTGCAGAATTCATCATGCAAAGGCACCAACGAGCCAAACTGAAAGAAGGTTTGGCATCTCCAGCAGATTAGCCCCACAGGCCGACTGAAGAAGCGCTGTGGTAAAACGGTTGCATTTTGGCCCTCCTTTGACTCTTCTTCCTTATGATTTTAAGTGTCTCTGAGGCAGATGGCTAGCAACACCCTGAGCGAGAAGCCATGCTGCAAATGTTATTGGTCTGGCCTGCCCATTACAGAAGAGGAACAGAAAGCCTGGTTGTCTACATTGCTGGATCTAATGAGCAGAAAAAAAAAAAAAATAATAAACAACAGACCAGAACAAAACACGCAGCGGTGCCGTGTACTTTTCAGTTGGAAGCAAATGTTTCTTCCCTCCATCATCTAGTGTTCTGAAAATGAAAACCTGCTTTTCCCTGGGATTTTCTCATTGCTTTTGCCTGAAGTCAACTGAAAAGTAAAATCCTTGGTTTAGGACAGGCCATTACAAAAATACTACTATCAAGCGTGTGCTTCTCCAAATGGGAGAATTAGAAGCACAACCCCCTTTAGCAACAGAGCTGAAAAGGCTAAAATGGAGGACATACAAAGCCATCTCTTCAAACCAAGCCACTCACTCGGGGGAGCTGATTTTTCTTGAGCATTTTAGTTCCAAAGTGCTGGGGTTAGCTCAAAATCTGTACATGCTTTTAAGAAATATGGAGCGGGCTTCTGCTTTGTTCAGCTGAAACCCTTTTCCAGATTAAAGTGCACAGCCGATCAGTACTGACAGGGATCCTGTTTCTCCCTTCCATGCCAGAAGGACCACTCTGAAGCTGAGCCTTGAGTGCAAAGCAAGGTAAATAGAGGCCGTTTAAGGCTCTCGAGGAGGTGAAGCATGGAAAACTAGCAGTTTTTACATACACAGGAGAGAATGCTAATCCTAATATACAAGTAACAGACACCACCACATCTCATCTCCTACAACGGTGCTGGGGTTACTGGGATCTTGAAAGTCTGTAGCCCTACAGTACCTGCCCTGTTCATGGCTGGCCTTGCACCTTTTAGAGCACACAATCTTTTTCCACCAAAAGGAACATATTGCTGGGATGAGGGCAAACTTTCGGTTTTAAGAAGCTGTCTTCTGTGTTTATCCCGCAGGATCGAGTGCACTGCCTTCAGAAAGTCCTTCCTGTGTTCTGGTGAACTGAAAAAAACAGGCGAGAATACAAAAGGCAGCGTTATCTCTTGGGAACTGCTAAAAGCTCGCTGGAAATGAGACAGTGACCAGTTCTGTAATTTAAGACAGTGCAAACCGACTGGCACACACTTCCCCCGCAGAAGACTCAGTTTAATACAGTACTTTCAAAGCAAAGCTAAATCTATAGCCACTGCAATGGGCATCCAAGGAAACAAACACACTGTTCATTAACAAAGCATTTAGCCGTTCACCCCTCCTGAGGCTTCCTTTTCCTCCAACAGCAACCACGCGCTTCACTTTGTCCGATACGCATTGAGCTGACCTATGGTGGCGAATTAAATGTCAGTTTGTCTCCTGTAAACACACACCAAGCAGAAGTCCTGCAACTCTCTACTACCTAGTAGTAGGAACTGGCTTGGTATCAGCTCTGTTGGACCCAGGTGAACTCGTGTACCAAGTTCTTATTTGAACTCTAAAACAAGTCAGGGCAAGCACCACAACAAAGATGGACAAGGTTTACTTAAGGAAAGGGCAATGCCCTAAGAGCAGAGGCTGGAACTTGGCGGCGTGAAAGCTACCAGCTGAACACAACACATTAGCAGCTACCTGGCATAAAGATCCAATGCTGGAGTACAACTGGATGTAAATTTGTGAAAGGCAAATTGCAATAAGGATATTCCCATAAAAGTGCAAGGCTGATCAATATATGCCTTTATTTTAATACCTTTTACAAAATTCTGCCTGCCAGGAGTAAGGGTTTATCACTCTCTCCTCACTTCCCCTACTGGCTGTCCCCAGATTGCCTCGAAGGAAAGACATAGGCAAGCTGGCATCCAGAGGTGCAGCTGCCGCTGAAAATACAGAAACGCACTTACCTACAGCAAAGGTGAAATGTTCTTTCTGGCCTGCCTTCAGACTCAGATTTAACATGGACAATCTCACATACAGAATTGGCTTCTGCATCTAAAGTGAAAAGCAAGCAGAACTTTATTAACAGTTTCTCATATTTAACCTCAATTTGAGCATTTATTCCGTAATCCTGAAGAAATGGTTTAAAACCATCCAGGACAACAGATAATACACTGCAAATAATATTAACTCGTGGCTGAAAGGCAGCAATGGATAAATGACTAATGAAACAACAGACTCTTAAACTCTATCTAGAAGTATTTTGTACGCTCTCACTCAGTCCCATAAAAATGGGAAAAAAAAAATCCCAACCCAGCTTTTCAGGTAATTCCATAGAGTATCGTCACATTTTCAGCTACCTCCTGTGTTCTTTCTACTTTCACTTATGCATTAGAAAGGGAGCAAATTGTTTAAAATGTTGAAAATTTTATTACTGTAAGATTCACATGAAGCCATCAACCACAAGAACAAAAATTCACTAGCTTTGTTGTCTCACAGCTGCAAGATTGCCTTCTGCTCTCTAGAAGAGGAACAGAGTGAACCAGAGTCAGCAAAAACTTGGCCCTGTTTTTCCAGAACCCTGCCTGACTTCAGAAAAGTACTGACAAGCTGGAAATACACAATCAGAGCTTCTGCCCCTTCATCTCTCTCCAGGGCTATGATGGATGTTGAGGTTGTGGGTTCCTTTTTCAGGCCCCAGAAACTGCATGCACATGCACTAAGGACAAACACTGGTCAGTGAACCCCCCCAGACCAAACACTGAGAACCCTGCCAAATTCATGCAGCGAGAACATTACCTGCACTTGCCAACGCTCGAACCTGCAGTGCTTCTAAAGGTATCATGTGGCGAAAGCGGAACGGATCCCAGTCTTCATAAATTGAAGCTCTATGTGATCCTCCCTGGAAGAATTTCAAAATACCGTTAGGAAATGAGACACCTTGCGAGAGTCAGACACAAAAGTCTCGTGTGCTTTGCACTGAGAAGATCCAGCTAGAGACTTGTTGCAATTCTTATTTTCCGACTACAACGTCTTAGTTCCCAGCTTCACTGAAGTGCCTACCTATGAAGATCTTGCTAAATCTAGACAAATACAACCATTAGGCCGATCAACTCTTACCAATCCTTCAAAAGACATTCAAGACCGATGCTGCATTCTCTCCGCACATACGCTCGGGAACATGCATTAGTTTTGCCTTAGTCACTCCCGACTTACCTTGTGGCCAGTTGACTTTAACCATACAAGCCCCACAAATCACACTTGGGTTCATGCCATACGTGGGAATCGGAAAGTTTTCTGTAATACTACAAATGCTGTTCCCCCTTGTAGCAAGGCATGTGCTTACTGTCAAGCTTAGCTTTAACTTTTAATGCCAAACGGCAGTAGGATCCCCTGACACCTACTGTCGGCACACCTACTTTAGCCGGGAGCAGCCAGCACCTGCTCAGTGGCATGCCACAGCCAGAACTGAAACGAGGGCACTGTGTTTCACCAAGGAAGTTGACAGACATCAGCTCTCGTATTTGATTCATATACACTGACCAGACAGTCAAACACAAGAGAGACGGTCGAGGCGATACCTTGTTTCACGAAAGTCCACTCCACAGCGTGGAATGGATGCGGCAGGCAACACAGATGACAAGTCCAGCAGAGAGCAAAGGATAAACTAAAGGAACGCTTGCAGGCGGCTGTGCCCAGGCCGAAGAGCAGGCCGCTCACCATTACCCCAAACCTCAGCTGTGTGGCACAGAGCAAGGATCACACGTGCAAAAGCCCACGCTAGCACCGCAGCTCTATGGAAAGCAAATCTGGCTCCTAGCCCCACCAATGCACACAGCATCGCTGAAACAGTCCGGGCAACTTACAAGTTTCTTCTTCTGTTTGGAACCATCCTTGTATACAAGGACCACAGCCGTTTTGAACACTAGAGGAGAAAGTTAGAGACAAAAGCCATGTAGTCAGTAAGGCTGGGAAGGGGTCTCCCCCACGCCCAAGCACACAGACCCTTCTGCTCCTCAGACAGCCCTCGGCTGACTCAGGGAGGGAAGGCAGGAGCAAACCCACCAGCCCTCTGGCATATTCTTCCCCAAAAACCCAAGCTCAGCAGCTTTTACTACACAAAACCAGGTTACTTCAAAGTCACTTGAAACTTAAGAGCCTAAGTTACCAGTTATCGGAACAAGTATTCAAACAGCAACAGTTCTAAGTAAAAATTCAGAGAACTGCAGTCTCCCTGGCTAAGTTCACCTCAGACAAATGAGCAGCATCCAGCCACAGGCCGCCCATCAGCAGACGGGACTGCGCTGGGACAGAATGTGAACCCCTCCCAGGTGGGACGGTGGTCTGCACCGAATTAAAAAGTGAGCACCGCTGGCAGGCAGAGGCGTAATCCTGTTCCTCTTGCCACAAAACATCCACATGGAGCTGGAATTTGTCTTTCAAGACTCCAGTTTTCCTTGCAATCTCTTTCTTCAGGCCTCAAGTGCACGCTTTGTTTTCAGACTAAATTGCACAGACACCTAATTTTGGGCATTTTATGAAACCGATTTAAAGATTTCTGGAGTAATTAAGAGTTGCTGCACATTCCTAGCAGCTTTCATGAGGCCACTCAGCTTCAGGGCATGACCAGGCGCTTTCCCAACTTACAGGAAAGCAGTCAGTTTTGATATGCTCTTCCAGAGCAAAGCTGAAAGAGTCTTCACTTGTTATCTGTTTGGTATAGAACAAACAAATGAAAGTCACCGGCTTCCTAACCAGCATCACTTTCTGGAAACAAGAAGGAAAAAGCCCATTGTGTGTAAAGAAATTTAGGAATAAACCAAGAAAACTTTGTGAAAGTAAAAAGAGATGTGATTTAGCCAAGATAAGCGATCATGTACCTTCCCAAGGGCCCACACTTCAGTGCAGTGGAAAGACCTTGAGATCTATGCCAGCAGCAGTTTCAGTTTCTAGTTTGGCCACCCAAGATAGACTGCTCGGACGGAGACAGACCGCTCCAAAGCAACTCACTGGGAGTCCTGGCTTCGCTTTTAAGCACTTTTTAAAGCTTAGATACACACGTTCTTTCTGGCAAAAGGCACGGAGAAAAAAGGCAAAGCCTCTGCAAGCTCCCAACCCGCTCTACAGGATGTGAAGCGGAGTTACTCGGCATCGAGAAGACTACCCAACTATATCTTTTCAGAGACAACCACTTTTCTATATAGCTCTCAATTCATAGCCCTTGGATATGGATTTAAGAAAGTCCTGCACTATTACAGTGTTCATCTCCAAATTCTTCACCGGTTTTAGATCAACACAGAACAAAATTTGACCATTTCAGCAAAGAGTCAAATATGGTTTTAAGTTCCAGCCAACCTTGTGGAAGGCAATGCTCAACTACCTTCAACAAATATCTGCTAAGGCACAGCTGACAGTCTTTTAGGCATCCAAAATAAAATCACTAGGATACAAACCAAATGCTGCCAGCTCAGGTTCCTTCTTCCATTTCCCCAGTGAAGCAGGAGGATTCAGCCATATCACTGTGTTATGCAAGAGCAAGTCTCCCATCGAAAGGTCTGCAACCTGCCAACACAAACACATGCACCACGTCACAATGTGTACTCAGTTCAAGAAAGCTTACTTGAATTTTCAGTTCAAGAAAACTTGCTCAAAGTTTATTCCTAAACAAACAGAAACCCCCCCACAAGCAAACTTTTGGAATATTTCATCAGATGACTGCATGCGTGTGCAAACAGACTGTGACAGTTCACAATAGATGCTTGTAAATCCTTAATTGATGGGCATAAATTAGAAGAAGTCAAACTCAGAGTCTGACTCTCGTAATTTGGTGGGAAGTCAGGGCAAAAGCCAGATGTTTTCCTTGCTTCGTCCATCTTTTTCCCTACCGGTTTCCTTCTATTTTGTTCAAAGATTTAAGCACAGTCCCCACCACACACACGCAGAGTTTGGGGTGAAGTTTAGAGACCACATCATGTGAAGCAGTCAAAGCGCTTCCTCCCCACAGTTGCTGTGGCTCGTGATTTCACCCAAAGGCTCATCTGTGAAAACCACATTGCTGGAAATGGACTAATGAAGGAGTTCATAACAACTGTTGGGAGATGCTTACTAATACTGCAGCAACCGGATCCTTCACTTTGACTTACGGTCTCCCAGAGTGACAAATCGAGGGCTATTCCCAGTCTAAGGGCCGTGTTATCCCAATTCCTCCACCATCCTCTCCGTGAAATCTGAGTTTTGCCAAAGACGCCACGGATACCATCAGCACAACAACATGAGGTCTCCCCGATAACAAGAGCAGTGCTAAGATACGTGCTTACTGTCTGCTCTCCCAGAATAACACCAAACCACGACTGCTCTCCCAAGAGATGTCCTGACACGCGCTCTCCACCGCTGCTTACCAGCACCCACCCTAGTCTCTGCCCTCTACCCACCATCTGATCCTCCCTCCCCGCTGCTGCCATCCCGCTCTCACACCCAGAGCTTCCTCAACACTGCTCAATCCCAGACCTCCTGTGCCTTGTAGCCCAATGCCTCTTGTGTTTGCTCTTTGTCCTGGCTGTTGGCAAAACCCCATTACCATTACTTCATACGGGCCTGTCTCTCTCCAGCCTTCACCGACATCACTGCTCCCACCAGCCCTTTAGCATGTCTCTACCTCTTCCTTGAGTGCCCCTCGACCTTACGGCGTTCCCCCCTTCCTGCCCACCACTCTCCTTCCCTGTGCTGCTGGACTGCAGATCTACATCTTATCAGTAAACGGAGAGTCCAGGTCTCAGTCCAAAACTTCAGGACAATTTCCATGGCTTTCTGAGATGGTCAGCCAGGACTGAGCCACGCTGGACCCTCATGTGTTTGCATATGCGCCATATGAGACATCCAGACCAAAGCCCAAGGCTCTCTCGCACATCAAGCCCACTAGCACACTTTCTAAAAGAGAAACAGCAGTTTCTCACACACTGCACCTCACATTCTGATCTCTTTAAAGGCATTAAAGAGCTAAGTACAGACTTGCCGCAGTGTGCCCATCCACTAAGACTGGTGGGGCGAGATTATTTCTGTGGAACGAGGAGAGCCAAAACATGGACATCAAAATAGTCAACTGCAGGCTGGGATGCGATTTTGCCCCAAGCATAACGTTGAAGGTGAATTAACACACTACTTCTTTACACTGGTCCCACTCACTGAACCGTACATGGAAAAGCAGTTTTTGAATTGGATTGGGATTTATCTCTTCGCACCAGGATCCAAGTAAATGACAGAGCACAAAAGGTAAATATTTGATACAATTTAACATTCATGCTACAGGCACCAAAATAACAGCCTTTTTCTCTTAAATTTGATCATCTCTTACCTCTTTTTTCTCCCCTGTTTGTTCTGCTATGAGTTGGTCAAACACTGCCCCATATTCTTCATGGATTTTCTGCATTTCATTGATGTGGCTGGCAACTTTGTTCATTGTTTTTATGGCCACTGGAAGAAAGACAGAGAGACAGGGGAAGAGTCAAAAGGTATTTTTAAGCCTCTGAGAGGAAGGGCGAGGAGGAGGGTTCCAGATCAGAGGGAAGAGCAACATCGGTTAGGTCCCTACCGTCAAGGTGGTAATGCTCTTCACTGTCTACGTCAGTCAGAGCAAAGAGCTCCGTCAGCAGGAGAGGGTATTTCAGTATCCGCTGGATGGGTTTGATGAGGTAAGACTCCAGCGTGGAGGAGTGCTGCCGTCGGGGATTCTGAGCATCCAGAAATGCCTTGAAAGCAGTGTCCGTCTTGGCTGGAAGATTAAAATAAAGCAACTGGATAAGCTGCCCTGATAACGTGACTTTTTCAGCTTTAAATTCATTTATCCAGAGACATTTTGCAAGGACGTGCAGATTTATCAGGTCCACAGATTTATGCACTTCAGGTTTTGAGTTAGATTGCCACAGGTACGCTATTTATGATTTAACAACAGGCACCCACCTACCATACCAATACATGCAGTTTTTAATTTCACTATCCACGGTATTTCTGGCCTTGCAACTATTTTAGAACAGTGTGAATTGTTTCAATCATCTGTTTCCTTTAAGAAAAGGCTCAAACTGGGTATTTGTAAGAAGTCACTACTCATTAGTCCAGTCTGACAGTCTGACCTATAATATTGGTGAGTCTGGTTACTTTTACCTCATCACACCTTAAAATGCAGTACTGAACAACACCAACAAAAATGAAGAGCTCGTAAGGAGGCAGGAAGCAGTACACTTCTGATAGCACACCATACTTTGGGAGCACAGGCAGACTGGGCACCTGATTGCTATCATATTTTCAACCCAACTGCTACCAAATTTATAAAAATACCATTTTCTCTGTTGCTCCCTCTAATTTGTACATAAATTTGTACCGGGAGGGAAGTATGGAGAGGGTGGCATTTTTAGACATACAGGTTAGAACAATTCCACACAATTCCTTTTATTAGAGCCATGAAAGAAAGCATGGATGTGACTATAAACAAATCATTTAGTCGTGTGTTCCACAGAGCTGCCAAGTATTCTTTGCAGCATGGTAAATAAGAGTTTACAAGTAGAAATGAAAAAAAAAAAAGTGCACAACAAAAAAAAACCCAAACCCCAAACCAATCAAGAAACAAAAAAAACCCTAAAACTTTTGATTGTCAGGCACCCAGATGTTCTTTGAAAAATAAGAGCTCCTCCCTTAATGGCATTGCTCCGACAACGAACCATTTGTTTATTTAATGTCTTGGCCAAAAATGAATTGCATGAAGCACTGCTAACTCTAAGAGATTAACACTTTCACAGGCGGAAAAAAACACCACTCCACGCAAGGAGGCCCGTGAGCCTTTATAAGCCAGACCACAGTTCATTTATCTCCATCTCAGCAAGCCAAGCTCTGCTAGGAATTCACACATGGAAATTCCTCGGGCAAATTGGAACGAAGGTGACAGGAAGAAGAGAGGGGAGGGAGAGGATGGTGAAGTTAAAATGTGTAGACAGCGTCCATAAAACATTCTCCCAGGCTGATCCTTTCCTAATGGCTGTCAGCGTTCCACCAGGTTTGGCCGGAGCTTTGGTGGGATTGCCACTAGCACGGATTCACAGCACAAACTCTAGAAGGGTCCACAGGTCATTACAAGCATCACCGCTCCTGGTTCCAAAGTACACAGTGATCCATTAGTGCAGGCCACATCGCCCATTTATGAAATCTTTCCAGTCCCCATATGACTGAAAAGAAACTGAACATGTCAGGGGAGAATAAATTAAGTGTGGGGGGAAAAAAACTACATGGGAGGTTAACAACCTCTTCTAATGAGCTACTCGGGTATCGTTACATCGATGGTGGTCCAAGAACACCCATGGCACAGAGCTCCCTGCGAGCCCCTCGGGCCAGATGGACTTACTGCCCTATGGCAAAGGCTCCTGGAGGGCCACCAGGCAGACGTGGGCCCCCATTCCTCCGCCACAACTTGCCCTGCATGGTTTGGGGTGCAGCGGCCACCTCTCATCATCCACATGTGCCAGCCCAAACCAACGTGACGCTGTGGCATCTCTCTCTCTGCAAGGCCAGGTCTGCTTGTCCAACACATGGCTCTTACCTTTCACCAGTACTTTGGGGACTTTTGTGTGGCTGGCACAGAAGGCACTGTACAGCTTGAACCGGTCGGCGTAGTAAAGGAAGGATCCACCCAAGGAAAACAACACTTTCTAGGATTTAAAAAAAAAAAAAAAAGTACATGAAAGCCGGTTAGTTATTCTCCCTTTGGCGAGGTCACCTGAAGTTTCCGTTTCGCTTTGGGATGACAGGACACTGCATTTTTAGAGTGTTTTCACACCATCTAGCAAGAAACAGGCCTAGCCTTGGTGCCTGGAACAGGCTGTGTGATTAACGTCACGAGCCAAGTTCCAGTCAGGACGATCTGGAGGCACCCTGACTATAGAGGGAACCAGGTTCACAGCTCCAGAACTGTATTTAAATGCCTCAGCTTAAAACCTTATTGATCTAAGTAATGACCAGCGGCCACTGAAAGGACTGGATGTATCTGACTTTGTAATGGATCAAGACACTAAGGAGCTGCAAGCAAGACTATTATCCCTCTGCACAAACACACCAAGGTCTTCACTCTCTTGAAGATGAGTCTGTGTGAAGGGCCAAACCCAACCTTTCCCCAAGACGTCTGTGCCAGGGTCAAGCGTTTGCTCCGCTACCCACTTAGGAACAAGACCACGCGGGGCGGGGGGTGAGACAACCCAGAGGCAGCTTGCCGACCGTCAGCGGGGGGAAGCAAACTGCAGAATGGAAACCACGATGCCCTGAAGTCCCATTTTGCACCCTGCTGTCAGGTTACGCCCACAGGACAGAACTGAAAGTGAAGTGGTAGCACTTTTTATGGAAAGGGGTGGAAGCAGCAGCACTCAGAAGACAGAGCTCTCTCCATAAGGAGGCTTCTCCCGCACTCCTCTCAAAGCTCAGAGCACACAGGGGTCACAGAGGCTTCCTCCATGAACAAAACTGTCTCTGTGCTCTCCATAAGGGCACCTTTCCTACAAAACAGAAGCTGTGTTCTAGTTACGTGAAGGCAGTGTTCATGATTGATGCTTATTTTAAACAAGCATCTGATGGCAAAGCCACACATGCACAAAAAGACAAATTCTTTCAGTAGTTCTTCCAGGGCTGTCCGTTAGCTGAAGAGCAGTCCCAGTGGAATTATTATTATTCATCAAGACATCCTGTCCTCTACCAAGGTGAATGCTCAAAGCAAGAGTAAAATTCCCCAGGGACAAAACACTGTAGTAGCTACTTGCCATATATCCAGTACGTGACTGCATTAGAAATAAAACAAAATTCCTGTTTCCACATTTTTGTTTTTTTTTTTTAAATGAAGTTGATATATCTTTAGTTTACATTTCTACCTTTGATGCACACCTGCTGATATCTGGAAGTATTTGCCATACAGTTCCACTATGCATCAAAAGCCCAAATACAGAATTCAATTTACAGTTCTTATCCGTAGCCCTAGTGGGCTTCTGAACTACTACATTAGACTAGTTGGAACAAAGATTTTATGTAACTTTCCATTTCTGGCTTTTCTTGACAGCCCGAGACAAGAAATCTGGCAGAAAGGCAAGAATAGCATCTAAAAGCACATGGCGTTACAGATTTCTAGTGCTCTATATGGCTAAATGTAGCATCAACTACAATTGTAGCAGGATGGTTTTCAAACAGCTCCAGTATTAGCTAAAACTTAATCTTGAGTCTAAGTAGATGTAGGTTTTTGCATGAACAGTGACAGCAGTCAGACAAATACAACGGAGAGTGTTAAAGGACTACTTCAGAATGTAAACAATGAGATTACCTTAAATTGCTCAACTTTTTCAAGCTTTTCCAGGTCTGGAACCAGCCTTACGCCATCTTCGAGAGTTTTCAAGAACTCTACCTGGAATGCTACCATTTCAGTCAGATTCCCAAAGAGAACATCCAGCTAATAGGAGGAAAAAAGCAAGATGCTGAAAATACCACTTTGCCGCTAAATCACATTTTCTAGAACTTCGGTAATTCTCAGTCCAATTGAATAATCAGTGTGATGTCAGCAAAAAAGCCTACCGACTATACATTATTGAGCAGCACCTTTACGCTCTACTCAATCCATATCTTAAAAGCAAGGGAATTCAAAATTTCTCCATAGCCCTTGCTCAGACAAGCAAGCCAAGCTGGGGGGTGGGCGCAGCGGAGGGGTGTGCGTAAGCTATCTAGCACAAAGGTAAGCAACAGTTAACAAGTTAACATACCTCATCTGGTGTGAGGAACGTTTCTTTTTGTAGAGGCTTCAGGTATCTCTCCATCAGACAATTTAAGTCCTAAACATTCAGAAAAAGATTCCCATGTTGGTTCCTCAAACTGCCTCTCAATATTTCTTGAAGTGGCAAAGATCACCGTTTACCTAGTCTATGAATTTTTCCCTTTCATGTATAGGACAAAATAGTTGGATTTCACAGAATTTAAGGTAGTAAAAGGAAACCTTTACACAGTTCTACTTACAAAATCAGTACCGGATCTCTTTGAGGAGTGTTCCTCTGCACACCAGCTAAGTAACTTCAAAACGACAGCGTAAGAATTTGGACAGCCTACTTATTTCGGAGGGTTAAGGTACTGTTCTAGGGACAGACTGCAGAAGTGGATGCAAGTTAACTAAGAGATACATGCATGAAACACAATTTGAAGTATTAGAGAAGAAACTAAGAAAATTTTCCAGAGGAGGAGAAATATTAGTAGACTGAAACAACACACGGAGACCCCTTACTTTGACATAGGTGCGTTCCGTCTCGAGAAGTTCGCAGATAACCTTTCGCAGTTTATCTGCATCTGTGAGCTGCCTCATGGTGGCCAGCTGGGGTCCTGTAAATTCCTGAGGATGAGCACTTGAATCAGAAGGGTTCATTTCATGCAGACTGCGACAGAAAGCAGCGACCTGCTCTGTACTCTTTAAAAAGAAGGAAGAGGAAAGACCAGCGGTAATATTTTAAGTAAGAGCTGTAGGAACGATGGAGCTGAGAAGCGTTTGCAGTTAAGCAGTTGCAGTTTGGGGGCTTTTTAACAGGCGCCAAAGTCCAGCAGTGCAGACACCATGTCATACATCGGTCTGTCCTCTCTCTCAGGGACTGGGGATAGGGCAGGGGGGAAGAGTTGCACAATTCAAGTTAATTGAAGTGCTGTTCAATAACATTCCTGGCTTCAGATAAGCGTGAACTTTAATTAAATAGGCTCGTCCAACACTTCAGATTGAAAACACACAAACAAAAATGACTGTGCAAACCCAACAGACCTCCCAGCCCTCGGCCAGTTCCCTCATCTAGTTTGCAAGCCCTGCGAATAGCTGTGTCAACCCAGGCAAGGAGACAACGCAGAGACCGAAACCGTTCAAGCTGATTTTCGGGGAACCAAAGCCATGGGGGAACCAAAGCCTCTCAAGGCTTCCAGCCCAAGCTCTTTGGGAAAGTAACTCTATATCTGTTGTGTGCCTGGAAACATGCCTTGGAGGGCGAATGCCTTCTCCATAACTCAGGTTTTTCAGAGCTGCCACATCTAGCTGGTTTCTTTAATGTTTAATCAGCTGTCTATATATATAAAGACAGTTATCCTCTCTTCACCTTCTCATGTTAGATCATCTCCTCGCATCTTTCCTCACGCTGAAAAGTTTGGAGCAGGTACGGCCTCTGGTGTCAGTGACAGCAGCCCCAGGCTCCCAGGGTTGCCAAAGTGGCGGACATGCCTGGTCTCCATCCCTCCCAAGGACCTGGAGGGGGCACGGGAGGGGAAAGAGCTGCTGCACTCCATCACACCTCTCTAACCCTCTCCGTCTAATCCTGCCATGGTATATTAATCCAGATTTAGTGACCTCCCAGCACTGCCGCTACAGCCCTCCGTTCACACTAAAACAACTGACCCCAAATTAGCCTGTTCAAACAGAGAATCCACAAAGAGAGGAGGAAAAAAACCCAAACAACAACAACAACAAAAAAGGCAAGAAAAAAGCACATGACCACCTTGCCATGTGGAGACAGAGCCCTGTCCCTGGGAGATCAGCTCACTCCCACCAGCCGGAACCTCATCCCGAGCCTGCTCCACCCCACGCCCCTGTGATGGCCCAGTGCTGAAAAATCAACGCACTTCTGAAGCCACGCTGTCTGCTCACACATAGCTATTTTCCCCTCTCAGCACACCTACAGTGCCATGAAGCCTAAGAAGAGCATTAACCATGCTAGTGACAAGTAAGGGGTTCCCTGCCATAATACAGCTGCTTTCCTTAAAGGTATCTTATGGCTGTAAATGCTCACCTGAGTGTTCCGCTGCAAGGCACATTCGTGAAGATGCTTATTATACACACGATAATTTTCTTCAGGACACGAGTGTAAGCAATGAACTAACTGTACCTGACTGTACAAAAATGCCTCTTGGACACAGTTTATTACAGGAAAAATATTCATCTTCAGCATCTGAGGTTTAACTCAGATGAGGAAGAAAGGAAAAATGTTGTAAGTTGAGGGCAAGAGGAAGCAGTGAGTTGAACCAGTCCGTTTCCAAATAACTCAGCTTCTGGTAACGGCACGTGTCACTGAGAATTAAAATTTATTAGTCAAAGTAATTCCTTTTATTTCTCAGCAAGGTTCCACCTATACTCGCTGAACTCTTAAGTATAAAGCATACCCAAACTTTTAGGTTAAGTTTGCATTAGATTTCAACACGTGCGATCTTGATCCCAACAGCGCCGAATCCACAAAGCACAGGAGGCAAAAGTCTGGCTTCAGTGCAGGCAAAAAAAGCTGCCCGAGTTACCTGCTCAGCTGGAAAGGGACAAAGAACTGACAATTAATGTGTGTTAATCTGAGCCTGCAGAGACCCAGGATATGCAGGGTTTTGCTCAGAAATGTTTAGCTTTGTTAAGACTATTTTGTGAAAGAATATTTGAGGAAGACGTATCCAGTTGCAGTTCAAGAGCCAAATGTACGAATAAAAATAGCTATAATGTATAAAACACAGTATGGAATCAAACTCCAAAAATAAACCAAGCGTTTTAAGCAGTTCATGCCTGATACCCGCAGACAGCTCACCACCCTGTGGAGGCACTCGCAGTAAGTTGCAGGGAAAGATGGGTCACCCAGAAAGAGAGAGTGAAAATCCACCGACACCATGAAACACCAGCTAACACAAACAAGTAGCTGAAAACTGGGTAACGGTCTTACAGGCACGCAGTCTGCCCCAGAAGGAATAGTTACACCCCTATGCCAAAAAGAAAGTGTAGAAGGGCTTTTAAAAGCCTTGTCTCTGCTTGTGCACACTCAATAAACGGCTCACTGACCTCAGCCGTGCCCGGCTCCAGCCCGCAGCAACCGAGCCCTGCCTGCCCACTGCCCTGCTTCCCCTCTGCCTGCGTACTTCCCCAGTACCGCTCACCCCGTACTCTTCGGACGGACGACGAGTCTCAAACACAATAATGTTCACAAACCTGTTCTCTTGCCTGTTCATTGAGCAAACTGTCTTGTTTCATTCCTGAACGTAATCCTGTCTACCTTATATTTACTTTAAAAAAAAAAATCAATTTCTAGGCAGAGAGCAGACGCATATGGCACCCAGGGAGGTTCAGAACACAGCTCTTTTCCTGAAAACTCTCAACCAGTATTAACAAAAGCCTCTCTGTCCCCATTTTCCTAGAGAAAGTGGACAGAGCAGGGAAGGTCTGGAACAGAAACAGATCCTTTTATCTCCCAGCACCAGCTCTGTTTGCCAGCTGCGACGATGATAGCACTGAACCAGGATTTCTCTAGGAGAATTACGGCATCGCACTTCAGGCACAATTCTGCAAGCAATCCCCTCCAGCAACCTTAAAATGAGATGGAGGGCTGGCACAACCGGGCTGTAAAGCCAAGTGTACTTTGGAAGGACATTAACTCCTCTACAGGGGCTCAGCAGAAGAGCTAAGCTCACAGCCCTCCCATGCAGGAGGAGCAAGTCCTTAAACTCATCAAGCATGTGGAGGCTGCCCACAGCGGGGGGTTCGGGCTGCCTGCCCTCTGGTTTTGAAAGCAGGGTGCCACTTGCTCTGGTGCTCGCCGTGCAGAGACGGACGGGTGCCTGGCCGTCAGGCAGATTGCCCCTCGAATGGCACGCCGCACCTCCGTTCCGCCACGGACGGCAAACTCCAAGCAGCACCGATCCCCCAAATGAAACTCAGGCAAATTGCATCCTTTCACGCATTGCCAGGACTCCTAATGACATTGCACAATAACAAAGAGCCTCTACAGGGTATATACATTACAGCTCAGCCTCGAATTTATAACCTGAAAATTAAAACAGCATGAAAATTCGTTTAACTGCTAATTACTTAGACTAGTCGCGCTGCACAGTAGATCTGCTCACCAAATACAGCATACGGTACAGAGAGTCGCCGGCTCTCCCAGCGCTTTCGTTCTTGAGTTTACGGTTAACTCTCCAAAGAGCCGACATCGCTGGAAAAGCTGCCACTCATCTAGGAGGAAAATCCCAGTTCTCCACGTACTCAGCTGATCTGAAAGGCTTTCCCACTCCAGGCAGATACCCTGTGCTGCTCACTTGCTACGCAACACAGAAGACAGCTGCATTTTAATAAGGAAGGGCAGGGACCATATTTCTCTAAGCAAAGCCTTTCCGCATGTGTCATTTGCCGCCGGCCTCGTTCGCTCACCACATCAGCTGGAATTAGGAGCCGGCTACCGGTCGAAGCTGGGAACTCAACGCTGCTTTTCATGGACTTGTCAGGAGGAAAACTCCAGCAGAGAGACTGAAATGCAGCAAAGCGGAGGTGAAGGCAGCCTGGGAATATAAATGTCTGTTGCCTGTGGCTGAGCACCAGCCGATTGGCTACCAACGGCACAGCCGAAGAATATTAAACATCTGAAGGGACAGAGGCACAGAATTAAAAGAACTTAAAAAAGCCAGTTACGCTACTGGAAAACCTACTCCTCAAATCCCTGTTTTAATCCTTTCACATCTATTGCAGCACATTGAAGGTTTTGAGACTTAATTCTGGTCTTGAATAATGCTGCAGAGAGAAGACGACCTATTTTCTCCGAAAAAATACCTCTAAATGGTATAAGCATGTACACACACAGCCCATTACAGCACGCTCCCCCAAGCACAAGTGCTGCAAGGTAATTAGCTTTCATTTCAAGAGGCAGATGTCTTTAATTAGAAACCGGGAGAAATGAGTCTCCTGCAGTATTGTAACTGATGACCATTTTTAAAACACATCCCCAATTAAATTCGAAGGACCATTATAGGGAAAAAACATGCACAAAGACTGATCTCGAGATGCAACGCAACACCTATCTTAGCCTTCAGTAACCTGCAACTTTAAGAACTCACGCATATACTCAGTTTTCAGGGCACCTCCTTTGAACCTCAATTTATTCTACAATATTTAAAAGGCCAAAACAGTCAGGTCACCACAGAGGCAAGTAACCATTTAAGAAATTACGCTGGTATGAAATGTTCCCGATGTTCTGTTGAACTGGAGACTGACAGAGGGGCATCATCTAGATCTCGTAAACAGCCAGAAACTTGGATCCACATGCTAGGTGAAAGGAAGCCTGAAGAAGTGGCAGAGAGTAGGCTTTCCTTTCGCCCACTCCCTCCTCTTGGCTCCCACACCAAACGGGGAGAGAAAGGAAAATCAGGAGCCCACCCCAGAGCAGAAGCAACTGGGAGCACAACTCAGGCCACTGCTAGTTTCATGGCTTAAGGGAAAAGAGCTGCAGCCAGAAAGCATACCTGCTTGCTACTCCAGCCGAAGAGATACCGTACCCACGAGGGCTGGTTGCCGCAGGGAAGGCACCATGAAATGAGATAGGGAGTGAGTCCAGAGAACAGCAGCCAGCCCACACCGCTGCAGGGCCAACGCCTCAGCCCACCCTGGAAACGGGTCTCTAGTATTTTATCAGAATAGTTCTACAGACATCTCGCTTTTGCCTATTATTATAATGATTCCTTTGACAACAGTGATGGAGAAGTGAAGTCTGCATTATCAGGTCTTTAGGATATACAGAAGATACGGTCTTCAGAAAAGGGAGGAACCCTCAGCGCTACTGGTGTACCCTCCAAATCCTTCACCACCACCAACAGCTTGGAGGCTTTTGCAGATTAAGAAACAAAGGCACCAGTACTAAGGAAACACACACCCACGTGCACACACGCTGGGCTGGGGGAAGGGAAGGGGACAGCTGGGAGGAGGAGGAGGGGAGGAGAAGGGAGGACGCGCCCGAGTACCTCCCGTGTTACACATCCACCTATCACCCAGGTGAGAAAGCTACAGGTAAGTCAGAAGGGACCCAAGCCCAGCTTTTGGTAGGATTTCACACGGCTTACCTTCACAAAAAGCCTACCCGGCCCGTGCTACAGCCGCGGATGAAGGACAGCTGCGGCGCTGCGTTCCTCTCCTTTTCCCATGAATTATTAACTCTCCCCTAGGATCGCTTTGCTGGCTGCAGAGCCGGGAAGGGTCCCCAGCGAAGCCGGGAGCTCTCCTCCTCGGCAGAGCTCTGCGGGCATCAGCAGACCGCCAGCACCCCGGCGCGGAGCGGTGGCGTCTGCAGGATTAAGCCCTGCCTCAGGATCATGCTATCGCAAGGCAAAAGACAACCCAAATGCTATTTTCGGATCTTCAGCTGATAATGCTGCATCGGCACTGAAAGAAGGGGAACTCTGCATTTAGCTGGGAGGCTCCAGCGCAGTCAAAATGGATTTCCTCTGCCGCCCAGAGGTGACTGGATAAGAGCGCTGCTGCCCTGCTTTTGCCAAGGAGGACAGAAAATGAAGAAAGTCTCCCCTGAACTCCGGCCCCGAGGGAGCCCGGACGCCGTGGCAGCAATGGCGACGCAGGGGAACGTGCCCCTCGCGGCGGTACGAGGGCAGAGCGCTTCCCTGCCCACGCACAAAAATAGCCCGTGTCGAACAGCGCCGAGGACATCACCTTAATCTCCTCCACCGTAATCCTGGGAGCACGGCAAGGTGTGGCACTGCACGGACAGGAAAACACCTTTGCTTTTTTCCTCACCGTACCGGCCGGGCGGTGACTTGCCATGGAAAAAAACGCGTTGCAGACTCCTCGCTCCCCACGCGGATCAGCTTTCCCAAGCACACAGAAAAGCAAAGGGATTAGGAAAACCCTCCCGTTGACTGAGCTTTTCTTCCTCCCCTCTACCCTATGCTGGAATTCTCTAGAGGCATCGCAGAACAACTGGGGGGGCTCTGTAGCTTTCGTCAGAGAGGAACCACAAGGAAAGCCCACTTAGTACAGAGCTCTTCTGCGTGAACAGGGGCAGCGGCACTCGTGAGTTTGCCAAATTGAGCACGCTGTATGTATGCTGCATCTACACGTGTCCTTCTTTTTTATGGAAAACCATTTCAAGCAGTTTGTCCCATAACAAACAGAATGCGAAGTAAAATGCCTCACTCCCCTCTATATCGCACAAACAAAACAAGGCGTATTTCTGAGTTTTAAAAGAAAACGTGTACTGATGGTAACACTTCATTTGCAGAAAGACAGATGTTCCTCCCGTTGGAACCTGAGGCCTGTCAGTGCTAGGAGTTACTCTTCCACTACACAAGTATTAAGCATTAGAGCTGCTAACGCACGTTTCTCTGTTTAACTAAATCTGCTGAGCCACAGGGCTAATCGTGTAATCCTTACGCCTCGCTTCAGGCAATTATAGCTCTGCAGATCCAGGAGGCAAGATGCAAAATGGAACCCCACAGCCGGTCGCACAGCTCAGAAATAGAACGCTAGAGAAAAAACAGCGAAGAACATTCATTCCCCAAGCAGCTATGTGTTATGCTCGGTGCTCTTCCACAGCTTCAGCGGTTCACAGAAGAGACTCTTTTCAGCGTGTATGAAAATCCCACATATTTACAGTTAAAAATCCCCAAGTATCAACAAACACTTCCACTTACTGAAGAAGTTCTTTGTACTTACAAGAAAAAGTCCTGTAATAAAACCTGGAAACAAACTGTACGAGTAATCACCTTCTCTGCCTGCAAGCTCTGCATGTATTTCAGGCACAGGAATGTTTTATCTGACTTCCACTCTCTGGCTACCAAAGACAAAACTACAGGCTAGCGTGACATAAGAGATCAGGAAACAAGAGGCCAAGGTCTTTTCCTTCCTTTCGCTACAATGAGGAGTAGAATAGCACAGGGACCAGCTCAGAACTCACTGTAACACATTTTAGTTAAAACAAGAGCTGAGAAAAAACACACCTGTACATAAGCACAAACTGAGTGAGATCTGATTCTCATTAGATCATTAATTCTGCGGAAAAATAGGTGTAAGGTCTCACCATCACCTATGCAGCAAATACCTAAAAGCAACCAGTGTCTTTAAAATCATCTCGCTTGATTCTGCCTCAAAAGCCACTAATCATCACACCTCATGTCGTGTAAAGCTCGCCAGCACCAGAGCAAGTGCAAACTACCAACCACTGCAAAACCCATCCCTTAATAGATGGCAATTAGCAATCCATTCCCACAACCTCTTATCTATAATTGGAGAGTTTTGCTCCAATTTGAGGTAGATTGGCTATAATTAGTTTGCATTTAAAAACTAGCATGTGTGCTATGCTATTGATTTCAGTAAACACTGTTTAACTTATGTTCCTCCTATGCCTAGAAATCAAGAAAGAATAAGAAATCCTAATAATCCACCCAATCTTTTGGTTTAGCTGACTGCTCTGATGAAGGAGGTGATAAACCAGCTCATTTAAAAAACTACATGGGAATGTTATCACAGGACACTGAAGATGTGAACCAGCCCTGGAAAAAGGGCACAAGTCTTGCTTCAGAGGTAGTGATGTGCCATAACCAAAGCTGTAATTTGTTACATGCAATATCATCCGTAAACACCTTAAAAGTCAGATTAACATTTTCCCAGGAAAGATGCTCTAATCGTGTGCAGCTGTGAAGGCAGCACTTCAGCTGTGACCGCACTGCGCTTTCTCTCCTTGTCATGTGAAAATGAAACTTTCTCACCTTGCTCATCTTATCGGCCTCGTCGGACGACTCCAGGTCTTGCGCTTCTGTCTCCTCCGGAGCTGTCTCAACGGAGCTGTCCGGGTCGCCGCAAAGCGAGTGCCCTGCTGAAATCGAGATGTGTGTGAAAACCCAACCACAACTTCCAAAAATTCGAAGAAGCTGGGTGCAACAGGCACGGGAGCTCCTCGCTGGGGCGGGCCAGGCCCCGTCCCGCGCACACGCGCGTGTGCCAGCAAGGCGTTGTGCCAGGGGCACTCGGTGACCCCAGGACTACCGCCGTTTGCAGCAGGGGCCAGCGCTAACCACGGCTGTAAAAATAAACAGGTTATGGCCAGACACGCTATTTAGCTGGAAACCACGAAAGCCAATTCAGAGATAAGGCTAAAATGCCACGCTGAAACTCATACGTTTAGTACTACTTTCTTGGCTGGCGAGCGCTTGCC